TGTGGGAATACTTGAGGATGCCATTCATTCACTCATTCATTCATTCATTCATTCATTCATTCATTCAATACAATCAACAGCATACCAGGGCCAGTGATCCCTCTGGTCCTCTGCCAATGGCCAGTCTGAATTTTCAGTCCCCATCTGGCTTTTTTAGCACTGCATAAATGATCCAACCTTTGGGAGCGAAGTGAGGTGAATAATCTGAGTTGCCTTCTGTTTTCTCCAGTTTGTGTGGGAATAATGAAAGAAGTACGTGTTTCCCTAGAAGGAGGCGGACACATAAACACACCCCATAAAGCATGCCACTCCTCTGCTCCTCACTATTACAAATTCAGCCTCTGTGGTCAGCAATCTGGCATCATTTGACAGCATTAATTTGATTCCATTTGTATTCCAAGTTGCAATTCCCTTTACAGTGCACTCTAGTGCTTAAGTTCTATTCAGCTGTTGTTTAAAGGAACTAATAAATGTGTCAGAATTCAGTAAACACAAAATAATTCAGAGAAATGAAGTTTGAATCCAAAGTTGTTAAATGTAAGCAGAACAAAAGTGTCTATATAAACTAATGAACTTGTATATAAGTTAGTCACATCTTTATGGCTTTATCATAGCTTGATTTCAATTGCTTTACTCAGTTCTACCTTGGTAAGTAGACATTGCTCTGGAGTTGAAGTGAAGTGATTCACTTGTTTCTTGAGCCACACCCCTTTAGAAATTGTCACCATTGACACCCTGTGCCGGCTGTGATGGCCCCGGCATGGTAGGTGGTTCTCTGATGAATCTAATTTCACCAATCTTGAGACTTTGCCATCTGAAGTTTAGGCCTAACACAGAAGTTAAGGGGACTGGGAGAGGACACAAAGTGACATTTAAAAAAATGTTCCCCAGAGAATTTTAGCTTGAAAGAATCAACAGACGACTTATTTAACGTGATAACGCTTGTGCTTGGGGTTTGGGATTACGTGATGTTTTATATGTTTGTCTCAGGGAACTTACTGGGAAATGCTTTTTAAAACAATAAATATGGGAAGCATTTCTGGCAAGTTAGATCTCTTTACTTTTTCTCTCTATCAAAGAGGGATTCTCACTGTTAGTGGAATTCTCCTGCCTCTGCATACTCAACAGAATTAAGAGGAGAACATGGAAAAATCCACCTTTGACTGTTATGGGAGTTTTGATTTCTTTTTTTCTTTTTTTTTTTTTTTTTTACGGCATTGCGGATTGAACCTCCAGTCTTGTGCATGCAAAGCAAATGCTCCATCACTGAGGTAAATCCCCAACACTTGGTTTTGGAGACGGGGTCATTGCTATGTAAGTCATCCCTGTAACCCCAGCTGACCTAGAACTTACTGTATAGATCAGGTTGGCCTTGATCTCACAGAGATTCGCTTGTCTCAGCCTCCTGAGTGCTGGGATTAAAGGTGTGGTCACCATGCCAGGCTTTGGCCTCATTTATTTTATTCATATCCCTTTCACTCTAGTTTTACAGTTTTGATCTCTGCCTCTGATTCCTATGGACAGCACTCTAGTATTTCCTCCTCGGTACATGGCCTTGATTCCTTGCTATGCATAGGTGGAAACTCGATGTTCTAATTCAGGTTTATGGGTTCCAGTTCCCACAATGGCCACAGGACAGCTGAGACCTTTACTGAGCAGTAACTACTTAACTGTGGTGATTGGTGATTTCTTCTCTGATTGTCTTTCATGATTTCCTGTCCTGTGTTAATGGTTATTAACCTTAGGCTGGGCATGGTGGTATACACCTTTAATCCTGGCACTCAGGAGGCAGAGGCAGGCAGATCTCTGTGAATTCGAGGCCAGCCTAGTTCCGGGCCAGCTGGGGCTACAGGGAGATCCTGTCTCAAAAAAAAAAAAAAAAAAGGTTATTAATCTTTGTTAACCATCCGACTCTCTTTTCTGAATGATGTATATTACATTTTAAGTGTGTGGATTAGAATTCTTTTTGATGCTTAATATCAAACGTAGGAAATGCCAACTGAAGTCATATAGGACCGTTTTTATGTTAAGTCAGTTTTGCTGCTGATTGAGAATACAAATTACCAAGACAGAGGTGGCTTTACAACAATTTCTCTCTGTCTTCCCTGACAAATCTAATGTGATCTTTAAAATATTTAAAAGCCTTTTTCTTTTTCTTTTTATCATTAATGAGAAAACCCCACATACTCTGGAGCTCAAGAGCACTGTTCAGTGTGTTACTGTGTCAAGTTAGAGGTCACACACAGCAGGACTAGTGAACAGGATATACAACAAAGTATACACGGTCACAAAATGTGATGTTCGCGGCCAGCACGGTTATGTCTCCATTCCTTCATCACTCAGGAGCAGGTAGGGGACCCCATGGCTGGTGGGGAGCAAACGTCCAGATTCTGGGCATTTCAGGGGCCCTCCACCATCCTCTACCGGCATCTGGTGCTCTTCCTCAGAAAGACTCGGCCTGCTCATAACCCTTAGACAGCCAGGTGTATCTGCTGCCTCCACAAACCACAGCCGCTCCATTTTTGGGCATCACCCTGCCATGCAGTTCAGGTTAATGTGGACCTTGGAATTCTGTGGCCTGGAGGCACAGAGTGACCCACAGAACCCCACCCTGCTCATGAGAATACAGTGGATTGTGAGTACGCAGTTTCATGTCACCACACTTGGTCTCGTCAGGTCCCACTAAAAGCTTTTTTTGATTAGCTGGTTTCTTGTTGATGTATGGTTGGCACCAAAGAGTTGACTTGAGAATGTGCACTGACATTAAATAATTATGTTTATGAACCTACTAGAGAATATATTTTATATTTAGTTGGTGTATTTTAGTCCCCCGGCAGGTGGTGGAAGAGGAAGGATTTTTTTGTTTGTGGTTTTTGGTTTTGCTATTTCCTTACATTTATTTTTAAAAACTCAGGCCAGAGTCCCCAGAATCGTCATTAGGAGCATTCGGAAACTCTGTATTGTGATGATGTCTTTACTCTTCCCTCTCAGTCTCTACACTCTTCCTGAGCGCATCTCCACACACACAGTCAGGAAACAACTGCTCACCTCATCCATCACTTCTGTCTGTCTGCATATTATCATGTTTCAAGGGTTTTCCAATTAATCCTGGGGAAGCTAGAATCACTCCTAATTATAGCCCTGTTATGCCTCCTTATTTCTTGATGTGCTTGTTAATTCGTGCCCATCCCCACCTTGGTCTGTGCTGTTACCTGAGTTTTGTTTTTAAAAGCCTGTTGTCTACTGTTTTGACTAAGATTGATCAACTGCGCTCTGTTGAAATCGATCATTTTGGACTAAAAATGATCTCCTGGCTACTTTCGCGCGCTCTCCCTGTCCCCCAGTTAATCACACCGGCCCAGTTGCTTTGATCCGTTTTGGCTTCCGTTCTCCTGCTCTTGCCATTAAAGAACTGTCACTCCTGACGTCTTTGTCCCTCCTGTCCTCTTGTAGACAACACCCTGGAATGAGAAGCCACTTGCAGAGGGCAGTGGAACAAATTCTCCTTTCGAATCTGGCCAGGCACGCCTCCCTTTACTTTCTCATGGAAAGGAACAGACAATTCTTATGCTTGGCGATCCTCTCAGCAGTGTTGAAGTGCAAGCCTCACGATCGGTGTCTAGGTACTCTACAGGGACCCCGAAATATGAGAGCCTCTCAAGTCCTCTATATTCTTTTTTATAATGTATATTTTTATTAGATTTTTGTGCATGTCATACAATAAGTCTTAATCATATTTAGACCGTCACCCGATCTACACACCTCTCCGTACCTCCCATGGTACTTCATGCATTCTGTCATATATGTTAAGGTCTATCAAGTCAAGCTTTTGTACCCAGATGTCCTTTGGTGCAAGTTCATCCACTGGACTCTAGTCAGCCTATGTGGAGTCTCTCCTTAAAGATCTGCTCTCCCTCACCAGTCACAGTCAGTTGTCAGTAGTTCCCCGGCTAAGGTTGGGTCATGCTGCCCATTTCACCAGTTCTATGCTGGGTGTTTTTAATCTGATTGAGTTTGCATGGGTCTTGTGCATGCTGACACCATTGCTACAAGTTTATATGAGCAAGTTCCCAGAAGCCTGGAAGACTCCATTTCCTTGTGTTCATGCACCAATCCTGGCTCTTACAATCTTTTTTACCTCCTCTTCTGCAATGGTCCCTGAGTCATGGGTGGGTGAAGTTTAATGTAGGAGTCCTATCCAGGAACATGTACTCTGCAGTCTCTTATTCTCTACACCTTGGCCATTTGTGGCCTTCTGTGTGCATGGCAGTCTGTTTCATGAGGAAGCTTTGCTGGTGAGAGTTGAGGGATGCATTAGTACTCTCTCCATTCCCTGTTTCACTGTTCTATGAGCCTTAGGTGTAGAGGTTCCACTGTAGATATATCACTGGTTGGGCATCTCTCAGATACATAGTCTCTGTGGGTGACCAGTTGTGGCACTCTGTAATAGCCTCCATCCATTGCAAAAGAAGCTTCTTGATGAATGATAAATGATATACTTGTCTGCAAATTTCATGATTTTGTCTTTCTTTACCACTGAGTAGAACTCCATTGTGCAAATGTACCACATTTTCAGCATCCATTCATCAGTTGAGAGACATTTAGCTTGTTTCCATCCCTTAGCAAGGTAGTAGGGAGGTCTGCAACAGGCAGATCAGGGAGGGAGGACCAAGGGCAAGGTGGGGGTGGGGACACCCGAGGAGGTTCTAGCAAACCAGGCAGGGTAGACGTGGGCCCTAAAGTGGGAGAATGTAGCTAGTCTGGGTGTAGGAGATCAGGACGCAGTGAGCAGGGCCTGTTAGGAGACTAGTCCTGACATCTGAGGCGGGAAGAGCAGGAGCAGGCCTAGGCCTAAGGTTTGAAGGGGGCAGTGTGGGAAGAGAAGATGGAGCTGCTCAAGGTGCAGGGTATCAAGGCCCAGTCCTCTATATTCTGGTCTCACACTGTGACACTGAACTTCTTTTGGACGTAGTAATTCATATTTTATTTTTTCTTCCTAGGGACTGACTTTAACATAGACAGCTTACCTCTGCCTCGGAAAGCCCATCACAGTTGGGCCCTTTTCCATGAAGAGTCCCCCAAAAACAATTATAAGCTCTTCCACAAGCCAGTCATCACACTGTTTAACCATACAGCCACATTCAGCAGGCATTCCCACTTGCCACTGACTACCCAGTACTTGGAAGGTGTGGAAGTTCTCAAGTCACTCCAATACCTAGTCCCTTTGAAATCCAAAAACCACTTAAGGAAAAGACTTGCTCCGCTGGTCTATATACAGTCAGACTGTGACCCTCCCTCAGACAGGGACAGGTATGTTCGAGAACTGATGATTCACATTGAAGTTGATTCCTATGGTGAGTGTTTACGAAACAAAGATCTCCCTCAGCAGCTGAAAAGTCCAGCATCCATGGATGCTGATGCCTTCTACAAGATCATCGCCCAGTATAAGTTTATCCTTGCTTTTGAGAATGCCGTTTGTGATGATTACATCACAGAGAAATTCTGGAGACCACTGAAGCTGGGGGTCGTGCCTGTGTATTACGGGTCCCCCAGCATTGCAGACTGGCTTCCAACTAACAGAAGTGCTATTCTCATATCAGAATTCGCTCACCCCAAAGACCTGGCAAGTTTCATTAGACAACTGGATTATGATGACAGACTGTATGAGGCCTACATAGAATGGAAGCTGAGGGGTGAGATCTCGAACCAGCGACTTCTGACAGCTCTCAGGGAACGCGAGTGGGGAGTGCAAGACATAAACCAGGACAACTACATCGATGCGTTTGAGTGTATGGTATGCAGCAAGGTGTGGGAAAACGTTAGGCTACAGGAACAGGTAAGTGAATGGAGGTCTGGCAGAGGGGTGAAGGCTGGACATCTCTGCCTTTTTGTGTGGACCTACCCTTCCTTCTAGGGCTGCTGCCTGTCCTTTATTCCTAGCACAGAGGTGGGCTACACTAGAAGGTGGAGGACTGCTTTACTGTTTGGCCTGGGGATTGGCATGAGGTTTACAAGTCATGTCCTCCTTAAGACCCAAAGCTGTGTTGATTCTTCTAGAGGACACTCTTGCTGCAGCTGCTGGGAATTGACATCAGAAGGAGGGAGAAAGGACCCCAAATTAGAAATTTAAGAGTTCTGCCTACCATCCGCATAGGAAACCCTGCAGCCTCTCCATCAGTACTGTGTTCCAGGAGCTGCTGATTTGTGCAGGCCCCTCACTCATGCCTCAGCTCCTGCCATCAGAAAACTCATTTTGTATAGTTAGCTGCCTGCCTCTCCCTACTTGCTCTCACTCATTCTGACACAAATTTTATGCTTACTGATACAGTCTAATTATCCTCCAGAAACAGAAGTAGTACAGATTTTGAAGTTTTTTTCAATATTAAAGTACTTACATAGACTTTACCAGATGAAGAGTCATAATCCAAAAATTCAAAACCTGAAATACTCTAAAATAGGAGATGTCTTGAATGTCACATTAGTGCTCAAAAAGTTTCAGATTTTGGAACATTTTAGACTTCAGATTTTGGGGATTTTATATTTTGTGTAAGGAATGTTCAACTTGTGTTAAAGAGACTGCTCAAATAATGATGAGTTTAATCCTTAAAAATCTTATTTATTTTTAAATTACTTTTGTATTATTTTGTGTGAGTGAGTGTATTGCCTATGTGCATGTAAGTGCACTTGTATTGTACAGTGCCCTCAGAGGTCAGAAGAGGGCCGTGGATCCCTTGAAACTGGGGTTATGAACAGTTGTTAAGTGCCATGTGGGTGCTGGGAATCGATCCTGGGTCCTCTGCAAGAGCAGTGAATGCTCTTAAGCCCTGAACCGTCTCTCCAGCTCCCCAAATCTTTTTTTTCTTAAAATTTTATAGAATACTAATATCTTCAGTTTTCTAAGTTACTTTTAATAATTGTTTGCTTGTGTTATTATTTGTTTGTGAATGGTCACATTGTATATTTGTTAAAATGATATTCGATGAGAGAAACAGCATGGTTAGTTTTAACTTATCATGAAATTCAAAAAAAAAAAAAAAACCCAACACAACGAATTGGCCACATGTGCTACTTGCCTGTCCCTGTCTGACTCCTATAAATACATGTTTTATCTGAATTCTGTAACTTTTAAAAAATATTTAAATGTGTATTTTGATTATTAATTTTAGGTCAAAGATAAAGTGTGCAATTATTTTTATGTATGTGGGTACTACATGGAGCTTTCATATACTAAATATATATATAATATAAATGTTCAGAAAATTTTGAAATTTTTTTCTTAATTTTAACAATTATGAGCAATTAGAATCTTTTTTTTTTTTTCTTCGTCTTTTTGAGACAGGGTCTTCCTGTAGCTCCAGCTGTCCTGGAACTCGCTATGTAGACCAGGCTGTCCTTGAACTCACAGAGATCCACCTGCCTCTGCCTCCCGAGGGCTGGGATTAAAAGCGTGAGCCACCACCCCCAACTGGAATCTTCTTATGATATGATGTAATGAATTTTAACTCACAAGATTGTTTATTTTATGCCCAGCATTTATTTTATGGTCGGCAAAGGAAACATTAAGTTCTACATCATTCCCGAGAGTGCTCCTGCTTTGTCATGATTTCCTTTATGATGCAATTTATAGGGCCACATCACAGAGAAAAAACAAGCTACAACACACACACACACACACACACACACACACACACACACACACACACACAATGTCTTTGTGCCATACAGCTTTTTCTCAGATATTTTTATTCCCATATCCATATATCTTCTACATGCAAGTCTACACACCCACATGCACACACACACAGACCCCTTCTCATGTCCTTCTACATAAGAGACAAAATGAATTAAGGAAAGGACCCACACTGGGACAGTTTGTCATCCAGAAAACAGATGATGCTAGGCTTTCTGGTCATTTCTCAAGTTTCCTCATGGATGAATCATACCCCTTCATGAGCTTTAGGAGTCTGTTTTGTCTCATGCACACCAAAGGACATGTCTTTGTACTTATGGAATGAGGCACACACAGAGTTATAACTACACAGCCAAGACAGACTTTGGAAGAAGCCTGTGTATTTGTTGTTTCTTTTTCACTCTGACTAAACATCTGTCAAGTACCATTTAAGGAAGGAAAGGTTTGTTCAGGCCCAGGGTTTGAGGAAATATAGCGCATCATGGTGAGGAAGCCATGTTGGTAAGAACATGAGGCGGCTGTTCACATGATGTCCATAGTCAGGAAGCAGAGAGATGAATGGTGTCCATCAGGCTTTCCTGCTCCTTTTCCCCACTTTTATTCCAACTGGTCACTCAGCCTGCATTTAGGGTGGGTCTTCCCTCCTCACTTAAACCCTTCTAGAAACACCTTCACAAATATGCCCCAGATGAGTCTCCTAGGTGATTCCAAATCTATTCAAGTTGATGATGGATATTAGCCGTCATAGTAGACCAGTGGGATGGCCAGAGAAATGGCATAAACCCTTGCCCACATCAGCCCCAAAGGGTAGGGAATATACCTACCTGTTCCCAGCTGTTCCGTAGAGTAACCCACTTCATGATCAGTAGGCATTCAAAAACACTAAATAAAGAGATAGAGCAGGGAGTAAGACAAGGAGGGCAAATATTATCTCTGCATCTTCTTAGAATACAGTTTAGGGGAGAAGTATCTCAGTGTTATCTCAGCCCTCTGCTTCTTTTGGCAGTATTTGGGGGATTGGTTCATTCTAACCTGGCAATATGGTCTGTATATCCAATTGACTGTGAATGCCACTGGCGCACACACACACACACACACACACACACACACACACACACACACTGCAGAAACACCGGTGAGAGCAGAGTGCCTTAATTGCCCATGCTATGGCAGTTGTTTATTCTCAACGTACACCAAAAACAGAACTCGTGCAGGTAAAGATTTGTCTTGATTCTCAGGATACTTTCAAAACTTGTAGATTATTTTCACAGGAAACTGAAAGTGCTGTGCAAACTGTAACTGCTCCTGTGCTCCACAGAAGCCCTGATGGTGAGATTACTGAGGACTGGACGAGAGAACTAATGACACTGGGAAATAGCTTTCTAAAGATTCAGGAAAATAAGTATGTCCCTGTCTTGCCTGCAGAAACAGCTGATGGTGGAATAAGTGAATGTCCTTTTTTTTGTGCTCATTGAGGAAAAACAGTTAAAATAAACTCTCCCATTGTGCTTTCCTTCCAGAGAGGAGGCGGGGAGAGAGAAGGCTCTTCCTATAGGCCTGACTTGGTAGTGAACACCTGTATTCCAGCACTGAAAAGACTGAGGCAGGAGTATAATTAACTTGAGGGGAAACAGAGTTGTAGAGAAAGACCCTGTCTCACAAAACCAATGAATGAATAAATAGATGAGTGTTCACATCAGTGAACTACTAATAGTCACAGTTCTAAAGTGCGAATGTCCTCATGATTGAAAAGAGAACAAAGCATGCCATGAGGTAAACCAGAGGGGGGTAGAGCGGCTCACATCGCATTTATTGTACGGGAGTTGGTATGGTACAGGCTATTTACCGTGTGGCTTGAAGTGAGCTGCGTTTGGTTCTTGTTCTTCCCTACTTCTTTCAGTCAAGGAAGAGCTGAAAGAAGTAAGCTGCTCCCTTCGCGCTCTGGGTTGCTTTTATTTACAGTAGGTGCATGTAGGCACAGAACGCACTGTCAGGGTGTTAGAGGAGCTTCCTGTGTCTCTGTCCTGCTTTCTTTCTCCTTTCCCTCTCATAAATGACAAGCCTAGTGATGCAGGGGAAATTGGGGTCCCCTTTGGGATTCGTAGTCTCATTAGTAAAAGAATTTAAAAATAGACTGAACCAGAAGCTCAGGGACAATTTTATTAGGGTTTAAAAGGAAAACCAGGGGCTGGAGAGATGGCTCAGTGGTTAAGAACACTGGCTGCTCTTGCAGAGGACCTGGGTTTGAATCCCAGCACTCACATAGCAGCTAACAACCACCTGTAACTCCAGTTCCAGGGGATCCGATGCCCTATTCTGACCTCCGTGGGCCTTGTATGACACGGGTGCACTTACCTACGTGAAGGCAATGCACTCATACACATAAAAAGTAATAAAATTTTTTTTAAAGAACAAAAACCCTCTGGGCAAGTGAGCTATAAATCTCATCAGCTGCCCAGACGGAGTGGAGGAGAGACAGGACAACACCACGCAGTTTAGGCTGGCACAGAGGTCAGACACACGTGCTGCCGGCCACAACACTCCTGCCAGTTCTCCCCAAGTCGATGTATGGAGTCAACATAATTCCAGTGAAAAGCCCATCAAGAGTTTTTGTAGAAATTGGCAAAATGATTGTAAAATTTATATAGAAAAGAAGACCCAAACTGCCAAAACTTTAAAAAAAAATATTTTATTATTTTTATTTTATGTGTATACGTGTGTTGCCTGTATGTATGTAGGTGCACCTGTGTCCTGCAAAGCCTGTGGAGGTCAGAAGAAGGCGTCAGATCCCCTAGAACTAGAATTAGGACAGTTGTTAGTCACCATGTGGGTGCTGGGATTCGAACCTGGGTTTTTCACAAGAGCAGTCAGTGCTCTTAACCACTGAGCAATCTCTCCAGCCCTAACAAAAGGTTTTTAAGAACAAAATTAGAATACTAACATTAACCCTCAAGACTTTTTTATTGACTTTTTGCAGTTATTAAACAGTATAATTTGATGGGCCTCCCAATCTACACATCCCCTTCTTGCCCCCACCCAATTTAATGTACATACACACACATACAATAAGGCCTATAAGAGCTAAATTTGCGTCCCCAAATTTCCTTCAGTATGGGTCAACCCACTGGAGCCTGGCTAACCTACCA